AATTAACAATTATCGATATTTATTTTTTATGATAATTTTTCTGTCGAAAAAAAATAAAATCATTATTAATAACGAAAATATTGAAATATAAGTTTATAAAATATTAGAATTTCATTTTTTAATTCAGAAAATTATTTCGCCAGAATTTTCAGTATATTTTGAACTCAGAAATACTTTCTAATTAAATTTAAAATTCATCATTTTTAATATCAAAAAGATTTCGATATTAATTTTTTCAATATGTAAAATAATAAGATATATATTTTTATTATAATATCATCGTGAAATTATCAAAAGACCAAAACTCCGAATATTAAAAAAAACTCATCAATAATATTCAATTAAAATAATAGAGAAATTATTGAAATTTCGCCATTTTGATCATAAAATAATTAGAATACGCATAAGCTTGAATAATTCGAGAAAATAAGAAACCGATTATCAAAATCCAGGGATCCTTGTTTATCCAAAAAATCTTCGCAATTTTCGAATTATTTGGATTTTCAAATAAATATTTCAAGTAATAATCTTACTTGTATTTGACCATAAAGATTTTCTTTTGGCAGTTTTAAAAAAATATTAAAATTGAATCTAATAATTGGCGGAGATTCGAAAGTACGGAGTGTTTTGAAGGGTTTAGGTTTTAGATAGGTTTGTTTGAAAGGGTTTAGGGTTGAGGTCTTGTTGAAAAGGGTTTAGGGTTTAGGTTTTGTTTAAAAGGGTCGAGGGTTTCGGTTTTGTTTAGAAGGGTTTAGGATTTAGGTTTTGTTTAAAAGGGTGTTTGGGGCTCAGCTTTTGTTTACAAGGGTTTCAGGTTTAGTTTTTTGGTTTAAAAGGGCTTAGGGTTTGGCTTTTTGCTTAAACGTGTTTAGGGTTTAGTTTTTTGTTTACAGGGGTTTAGGGTTGAGGTTTGTTTCAAAGGGTTTAAGGTTTAGGTTTGTTTAAAAGGATTCAGGGTCCATCTCTTGGATTGCTTGTCGGAGTCACGGGTTCAAGCTTGGGCTCAATGCAAACGAAGGATCTCTTGCCGTTCAGCCAGAGCACATGCCAAACAGCAAGGACCGTGAACCAGAAATTTCTCCACTCTTCGGGCCTTCGTGGAACCAAAACGCAGAAACTCCCAAGGGGAGAGTCTTATAACCCAGAGAACCCAATACCCCTTAATTAAGGAATAGACCTTAAATCATAATATTAACGCTCCCCATAATTCAAGGTATATTCCTTAATTAAGGGGTAGCGGGTTCTCTGAGAACTTAGCATGATTTATTTGGAGGCTCTCCGTTCCGCTCTTTTGCCACCGTGGACTGCATCTGCGTCAGAGTCCTGGCGCCCTCGGGAAATCGCGTCGTGGAGGCTCGTAAGCCTAATGTCCTGAAAGGCTTCGGACTGTTTGCGCTGTAGGGTTTTAAGGTTTTAGGGTTTAGGGGTTTAGGGTTTAGGGCCACAAACCCCCCAAGCCACCCTGCTTGCCGAGACAGGGAACCTAGTTCTAAGGACTTTAGGAAGGACCCCTAATAGGGACCCTTAATCCCATTACCTTAAACAACCATTGTATAGTCCTTATATACCCCTTATACAGCCAGGTAGTCTCCATATTAACCCCAATAACCTACAAGGGTCCCCATTAAGGGTCCCTCCTAAAGCCCTTAGACTAGTGTAGGCTGCAAGTCAGCTTGTAGGCCCCACGACCCCGAAAAGGTGATTCCCCAGAGAGCCCAAGACCCCTTAACTCAGGAATAGACCTTAAATTATAGGGGCCCTTAAAGGGACCTATAAAGGTTTAGGGTTTAGGGTTTAGGAATATACCTTCAATTATAGGGGCCTTAATCTTATGATTTAAGGTATATCTAAGGGGTATTGGGCTCTCTGACTCATAAACCTGGACAGAGTCGCCACCACGCCAGTCTGTCCTATACTTGCCTGAAATCTGAGGCAAAACATGAAAGGAATCCTTCACGAAACCCTGTCAGGAATGTAAAGAGACCCTTTAAGCCTCCTCCACATCTATCCTCCAGCAATTGGCCATTCTAGGCCTTGTTAGACTTCGAGTTCCTCTTCGAACATGTCTTCTGGCGAAAGATCTTCAGGTTTACACTCCTAAGCTTCTCTGAAGCCTATATTAGGGTTTAGGGTTTAGGGTTTAGGGTTCTATATCCTCAAGATATGAAACTTATCTTGGAATGTACTGAAAGATCCCTTCCGGAGCCTTTGTTCTGAGTTCTGAGACTCCCATATGGGACGACTCCCGGCCCCTGAAAACTCGCTTGCCCAAAGAGGTCGGTGATGCTCAACTTCATAATCAATACATCTAAATATGCAAAAATTGATGAAGCTGGATCGCCCCGCTTTTCCCAGATTTCTCAGGCTTGGAAACTGCCGAGACCACCGGGAGGATCTAAAAACTAGATCCCCTAAGGGGTTCCTATAAAATACCCTTTAGTAGTTAGGGTCCCAAAGTAGGGGATCTACTTCTCAAATCCTAAACCCTAAACCCTAAACCCTAAACCCTAACTCCCGGTGGTCTGGGTACTGGCACAGAATGCGGTCCTTCGCAGCGTGTGGGTAGCCGACACACGCCGAGCCGCAATGATGCGGTCGGTGAGCCTCGATGGCTCCTGGCACCAGATGGGGGGTTTCCGAAAGTAGGGGGTACCTTTTTTTTGGGGTCCTTATAATAAGGATCCTAGTATTTAGCCTCAAAAATTAGGGATTTTTTTGGGGTCCCCTAAATAATAGGTGCCGTATTATAATAAAGACCCAAAAAGGGACCCTAATTTTGACAACCACCCAGATGGATGAGCAGGCCTCCTTCATAAGCGTTCTTGTGTGCTATCAGAATCTGCAGAAACATCTAAGTCCAACTTCGACGGCGTAACCTGGAGCAACTCCTGGGGAAGTCACCAGCATGGCGACCAAGCACTAACACACACACAAGTGGTTGGAATCCGCCGCATCGTCGACACAAACCCAGACCACCGGGAGGATCCAAAAAATAGATCCCCTAAGGGGTTCCTATCAAGTACCCCTTAGTAGTTGGGGTCCCAAATTCGGGGATCTACTTTTTAGATCCTCCCGGTGGTCTGGGAAACAGACTGACAGCAAACGCAAAGGATCGCTGGCTCTGGTTTCACAGTCCCCTAAACCCTAAACCCTAAACCCTACACGAACGGCTTGTTTTGGGTGCTCCCGGCTCTCGGTCGGCATCATCCCGGCGAGAGAACTGACAAAGCAAAAAGGTCAGGACTTCGTTGTACCAGAGATTGGCCCGGGTTCCATACTGTAACTTTAAGATTAGGGTTCAGGGAATTATATAACTAGATTAAATAAATTTATATAATATATTTATATATATATATATGTATATGTATACATATATATATATATATATATGTATAACTTTTGGGTCTAGGGTCGGCATAGGGTCTTAGGGTTTGGGGCACCCTTAGGCTTGCGGGGAGCCTCGGGCACAAGGAGGAGCTCTGGAAGCTTGGCTGCAAGCAAGTTCCAGAAGTACAGCAGCGTCCTCTGGTTTAGGGTTTAGGGTTTTATGGTTGCATGGCACCAGCGTGGCGATTTTCAGCTGTGTGAAGTAATGTAGACCCTGGTACTGTAATCCACCGAGTCTTCGATATGTCTACCCGAGACTACCCAACTCCCGTTTCTTTCTTTTTATCTCTTTCTACCAAACCTGACGATTCGGTTCAGCTCAGGAGCAGAATCGGCAAGCGTTGCAGGAGAAGCAAAACCTCTAAGATTTGCAAGCTCAGTGCTTCGAGATACCTATCAACGGGTGGAGCATGATGCACGGATACGTATGCCTGCAGTGCCACCGTACCGAAACCACAAGTCCCGAAACGCAAAGTCCTAAACTCTAAAACCCCAAACCCCATTGGAGGTTCTCACTACAAGGATCGTACTGTTTGGGTTTCTACAAGGGCTCTCTACGTTCTGTGCTGAGACTGCTGAAGCCACACCTTCGTGAGAGCTGCAGGTGGAAAGCCTCCATCTCGGCGCGGAGCCTCAGGGCTTGGATTTAGGGGTTTTCGGGTTCAGGGTTTACGGGTTTAGGCTTGTAGGTTTGGGGACCTTGCAAGCGTGTATGAATAGGTAACTCTAAAGGTATCATCAAGGGACATGAGAAATTTTCCCAAGCGCCACCTGGCCAAGGTTCGGGGGTTAAGGCATTGTGGGGGCCGGAAGGTCCACTCCTTCTTTGGGTTCCGATGCAGCATGTGCAGAGCTCAGTCATGGGTTAAGCATCCAGCCCCACGCGCTGTAGCTGCGTTGGCAGACCCCGGATTGCAAACCCTTGAAGTAGCAAGGATTATAATAGGGATCTTAAGCTGAAGGCCCTGAAGCAGACGACGACAACGACGACAACGACGATGACGATGATGATGATGATGATGATGGTGAACAGTACTGATTCTTTTGTATATGTTACATATACAATGCAGTTTGTTATTTGCTGCAGGTATATATATATATATGAGTATATATAGAACTCCCGTTGGCTCAATCTTCTCGGTGCCTCTCCAGCTCTTCAGGCGCTGATGCCCAAGACAGCAGCTGTCGATACAGGTCCTCACTGGGCTTTAGGGCTTAGGGCTGGTTTAGGGTTTAGGGTTTCGGGTTGTAGGGTGGGCCTCCTAGGATCCTAGTGAGGTTAGGGTATATGGGGCTTAGGGCTTCGGGTTGTAGGGTTTAGGGCTTCATAGGATTGGATGAAAGTGAAGTTAGGGTATATGGGGTTTAGGGTTTAGGATCTTTTGGGGAAGGTGCCCCCCCCAAATCGGGGATGCTTAAATCATGAAGATACCACCGTTTTGCAAGGATGGAGTTTGGGTTTAGGGTTTTAGGGTTTAGGGCTTCAGGGTTTTAGGGCTTAGAGTTTTAGGGTTTGGGGTGTAAGGGTTTAGGGCTTTAGGGTTTATAGTTTCAGGGTTTAGGGTTTTAGGGTTTAGGGTGCTGAGAAATCCACCATTCAGTGCGAAGCGGCCACAAAAGAGTGGAAGTGCTGCACGTGCGGATAGCCTCATTGGGGCTTGTGGGCTTCGGGAGTGCGGTTTATTACGGCTTTAGGGTTTTAAGGGGTCCAAGGGGTACTAGGACTTACGGTTCTAGGGCTTATGCAGGTTTTCGGGCTTACCGTTTCGGTGTTTTTTTGGGATGGATCCCTATGATAGTCCCTTAAGGTCCCTTAAAGGTAGTCCCTAGAACCCATTCCCCCATTCCTAAGCATGACAGTGTTGTTCTGGGGTTCCGGCGCCAGGCATCCGCAGTTTGCAGCCAGTATCCTTAGTCTCCCAGACCCTGAGCTCCAAGCCCCAAAAACCCCAAACCCCCAAAACTCCTCAACCGGTTTAGGGTTTAGGGTTTAGGGGTTTAGGGTAGGGTTTAGGGTTTAGGGTTTAGGGTTTAGGGTTCCCCAAAAAACTCCTCAACCCAAAACCCCAAACTTAATTGTGCTCCCTCCTGCTCGAGGGTTTGTCAGCTTCACTTTGCGCAGGCTTGGGTGGATATAGGGCCTTTATAATTACCATACTATTTTGGGGGTTCCTTATTATAATTATACAAACTAAACGATGTATCATCATCTAGGGGACATAATAAGCACCTATACTAGTTTGGGGGGTTCCTTATGACAATTATAGTATAATGGGAAGACCAGTAGACATAAGGCGACCCAGCGGCGAATTTGGTCCAGCTCGCAACCCCAAGGAGAGTATGGGAACGTCCTTGGATCAAAAGCACAGTAAGAGCACCGGGAGGATCTAAAAAGTAGATCCCCTAATTTGGGACCCCAACTACTAACGGGTACTTTATAGGAACCCCTTAGGGGATCTATTTTTTTGATCCTCCCGGTGGTCTGGGCAGTAAGAGCAGAGTTTCTTTTCTTGCGGAACCATGGAGAGGCACGTACTTTGAGAATCCCCACCCCCAGCCCCGGTCCCACAAACCCACCCAGAGAACCCAATACCTCTTAATTGAAAAATATACCTTAAATCATAATATTGAGGCCCCTATAATTTACGGAATATTCCTTAATTAAGGGGTACTGGGTTCTCTGGGCAAATGAACCCGACCTAAACCGTAAACCCTAAACCGACCTGGCCGTAGATGCCCAGGCGCAACTCTCCCTCGAGCCGGTACAAGGGTGAGTGCATGTGAAACCAGCCGATGCCGGTGCGGCACATGTCCGACATGATCCTGCAGGTTGATCTTAGCTGGTTCCCTGTTAGGGTTATATGAAGGATGACCATTTTAAATCCTTGTTGGGGTTTATTATGACAAAAATGTAAAATTGTATCCAACAAGGACCCAGTTAGGATCCAGGATTAGGCGTTCAGGTATTCGGGTGGAGGGCTTGGCTCTGGTATGTAGGGCGTAGGTGTTGAAATCGAAGAAATCAGGCTTTGTGAACCGATCGGCAGATTTTCAAGGGGAAGACCGATTCAGCAGATGCATGCAGGCTGGCATGAAGTGCCTAGATGTGCGCGGGGGTGAGCATGGCTTTGGCAAATTTTCGCAACCTAAGCCCCGTCTGCAGCGTCGCTTGTTGTCCAGAACACAACCTGGCGGCTTCTGTAGATCAACACGCTTCGTCCATGATGTTGCAGTTCGGCACATCAGTACGGTTCACGTCTTGGGGTTTTCTCTGAACCCACCCAGATCTTTGCAGAGCCTCTCCAACTTTTGAAAACACGGATGTATGAAAAAGGAGTTAGGCGGCAAGCTCCTGCAACCAAAAGAGTGCGTCCCCAAGTAGCCAAGCTTCTCAATATTACTAATGTAGGAGCCTTAATAATTAGAACAGGAGTTTGGGCTCCTTCATAGTATTAGTATAATAAGGAACCCTCACAGTAATATTGGTAATTTTTTAGGCTTCTGCATCTCCAACCCCTACCACCGGGAGGATCTAAAAAATAGATCCCCTAATCTGGGACCCTAACTACTAAAGGGTACTATATAGGAACCCCTTAGGGGATCTATTTTTTGGATCCTCCCGGCGGTCTGGGAAGCTCGGTAAGAAACATGATCTCGTGAACCTCCGGTCCTGGCTTGCCAGTCTGCATGGGGCACCAAGGTAGGTACCTCAGCCCAGAGCACCCAATACCCCTTAACCAAGGAATCTACCTTACCTGTAGTCTCAAGTGTGGTTCCTTTTATTGGTTTAACCAATTATATATTAAGGAGTTTATAAGGCATCCCCAAAAAGGAACTACAATGGAGACTATAGGTAAGTCATAATATTAAGGCCCATTGGGTTCTCTGGGAGGGAAGCTCAAGGCTTTAAGTCAAAAACGTCGGGTTTTCTGTGATATTAAGCTGTCGGTATATAGGTCGTTCTCTATATTCGGGTCCTTTTTAGGGTCCTTTTTATAAGGGTGCCGTACTATATTGGGGACCCAAAAGGGACCCTAGTTTAGAGAACTACCCATATAGGACTACAACGGGAAGTCTGAGAAGTTAGCTAGAAATCCCTATACAACTCCTAGAAAACCTCGGCGCAACCAGATGAGACGGCCTTTCTGTGCTTGCCCTCTGAGCACTGCGCCTGCAAAGAGTAGAGCTCCGAGAAGGTGAGCAGCGTGATGTCACCGGCGAGATAGATCCTAAACGGCACAGAACAAACTCAAAACGAAAAACGAGTTTAGGGTTCAGGGTCTAGGAACCCAAACCCTAAGCCCTAAACGACATAGAAACTCAAAAACAAAAAAGAGTTCAGGGCCGTTTAGAGTTTAAGGTTCTGGATTCTAAGGTGTAGGGACCTATACCTACCGTCCCTAAACCCTAAACCCCTAAACCCTAAACCCTACCTACCGTCACGAAATGTCATTGGAAGCAGGCAAGCCTTGCTCGTACTTCGCTCACATGGGGTGTTGATGTCAAAATTATGGTCCCTTTTGGGGTACCCTAAATAATATGTGCCGTATTATAGTAAGGACCCAAAAAGGGACCCTAATTTAGGGAACTATCCATGTGGTGTTGATGTGCGCTCCGAACGCCTGAGGCACCGGCGCAGCCATGTACTCAACAGCATCGCTCCACCAAATCTTGCCACGAACCTCTGGAGTGCTTCGTCTACATGTTTCGGGTTTAGGGGTTAGGGTTTAGGGTTTAGGGGCCGGCATCCAAGATGAGTGCTAAATCACAGGCACTGCCGTGAGTGGACACGTCTGTTCTTTTGTTTCTTTTTGCACCTTCCACTGGCATGCGATCTGTCCAATGCTGACTTGCATCGGTTATGGACGCGACGAGCTGAAGTCAAACCCCTACTTGGAGGTTCATGGGTAGTTATGAGTGGAGTCATAAGTAAGCTAACAATAATTATAACCCATATGAGGGGACTGATAACCCTACGTATAACTACCCATGAACCTCCAAGTAGAAGCCCTCACTTACTTTTGGCAGATCAGGGAAAAACAAAGACTGGCCATGCTGTGCTGCAATCAGCTCAGGTGGAGTGACAGAACAAGGCTACAGGCAACATATGGGCAAACTGTACCCCAGAGAGCCCAATACCCCTTAAATAAGGATTATACCTTAAATTATAGGGGCCGTAATATTATGATTTAAGGCATCTTCCGTAATTAAGGAGTATTGGGCTTTCTGGACTGCCCTGACTCCCGCCTGACCCTGCCAGGGATCGCCGGCGCCGCGGTTGATGCTGTCGAAGCCGCCCTGCCACACCTTATGTGAGGTCAGCTGAGCCAGCACTCCCAGTCCCAGCCGTGTTCTTAACCTCCTGCATCCACAAGAGCCCATTACTCGTCCTTTAAGAACTATACCTTAACCACAAGCCTTAAACCGCAAGAAGCTCTGTAGAGTTCGAGGTATCCACGTCATGTTGGGTGGGGTGCACTGACTCTCTGGAACGCCCAGTCACGAGTCAGGTAAGCTGTTTCCTCGGTACCGGTACCCAAACAGCCACTTCACGAGAGATTTAAGGATTTTCAAACAGACTTGAAGCTTTCTCGACTGCAATGGGGTCACAATCCCAGCTTTGGTAAAGGCCACAAAGGTAAACACTGCCCCTTTGCAGCTCCCAATCTTGCCTTAAGAAGGGGTCATTGCACGCGCACACACACACACAGACACACAGACACACAAACACACAGACACACAGACACACAGACACACAGACACACAGACACACAGACACACAGACACACAGACACACAGACAGACAGACACACAGACAGACAGACAGACAGACAGACAGACAGACAGACAGACACACAGACAGACAGACAGACAGACACACACAGACAGACACACACAGACAGACACACACAGACAGACA